AGTAAAGGGGGAAACATCAACCATAACTTTAAAAAACAAACTTGCAAACGTAAAACAAAAACACCAATAAACCACAATAATAAAATAATAAAAAGCATTATGCGGGTCACTCTGTAATTGGGCGTAAGCCTGTTGAGGGTCCTAGAACGAGAGGAACAATAAATAAATAAATAAATAACTAAATAAATAAATAAATAAATAAATAAATAAATAAATAAATAAATAAATAAATAAATAAATAATATATTAAAACCTGGAACGCGTTTCGACAGCAAGGATATCATCATCAGCGAAAACTTACAAACAAAATCGTTGTGGCAGCAATAGCGTTACAGGCCATAGCAGTCGATGCGCCAAATCAAATTTAAAAAAACTAATAATAATGTAATGTCTCAATTCTGTAGAATTTGTACATTTTTTAATAGTACAAAAATGGAGAGTGCAATTCAACTAAAAATTGCAACCACTATTGAACAGATCTAACAACATATGTATTTGTTTATAAGAAACTAGATTTAAACTAAATGAATTTTTCAACTTAAAAGGATGTAGTATTTATGAAAAAGATATTAATCCTCGCGCCCACGCTCACGAAGGTATTGCGATTTTCATTAAAGGGTCTTACCCACGCAAAACATTTAATCTTGTAACAGAACTTCAAGCGATCGCTGTATCCAGTACCCTATATTCCAGTAATCCAGTTATTAAAATTCACGGTATGCAACAGTTATCGACCAGACCGCTACCCTTTTTGTTAGATGGCGATTATAATTGTTATATCATGTAAATTGCTGAAAACCGGAAAATATGGAAAATTTGTGATTAAGGTGGTTGTTAGAACGATACAAATTCATATCAAATTTCCAGGTAGATCTAAAATGACAAGCGACGCCCTTGTTCAAATGGAAACAGCAATGTTAAATGGTTTTGCTAAACGACATGCAATATTGCAACTTTTATATTGGTTGCAATTAGTAATGAAGCAAGGAGAAGTATAGACCATGACGTGGTCGAAGCCACTACTCATATTAAAAATATAAAATTTATTTGGTTTAGTAAGTACATTTTTCTAATAACCCGCCATAACCAATTCACAATATATGTTGTCTGGTTGATATTTTTAAAGTTATTTCAAACAGAATAACTACATTGATGATGAGTAAACTATTGATATTTAAGAAAAATCCTACAGTCCTCTAAAAAAAAGAGAAAACTCCTACTGGAAATAAAAAAATATTCCTGCTGGTCAGAATATTAAACCATAGTAAGCAATGTAATCGTTACTTGATTTTAATTAAACGTGCGATTAATTAACCAGGATAGACCATCTAGATAAGTTATACCTTATGTAGAATAATCTAATGCAATTACACAATAATTACACATTCATTCACATTCCAATCTAATTTCAGCAAACTGTCGATAGGACTTTAAACTGAACAGTTCGTATATAAATTTCATGATTGATGGTAACAATTTATCAGATTAATCTACATATTCTTGCACATTTCATTACTTACAGCTCCTTGGGTAGCGTTATATTATACTTCACTGGTTTCATTTCGCACATCACCGTTTTATATACATTGGGGATACATTTTAATATTTAATTCTGAAATATAACTTTTTGCTGGACAATTACGTCGGAATTGAATATCCGATCGAAGTCAATTTCTCTTAATAGTTGATACACAAAGCTAAAATATGAAACAACCTTCATCTATCGTCTCGCATGGAAGGTTTCCTTCTGTAACTTTGAAAACTTATTTGACAGAGTGTTTGTTCCAATACACATATTCCACAACAATCCGAAATTCCTGTACCCTAGGAGATGTAACTTCCCATCAGATTATTTGGATAACAAGGAAGATGTGCACCTAATTAAAAAGTAGGTACATTTCGAAAGATTCTATCAAACGTCTCGAAAAATAAAATTGAGAGAACTATGTAGGTACCATAATTACCCTTGCGAGAATTCTTTTAAAGAGGCTATTGAGGAAGCAAATCCGTACCCGTAGGGTTTTTAGATTTAAAGCTTTAGAACGTAATTTTCATTAATTATTTTAAGGGAAAAATACTTTATCGTGTCAAAGCTGTGTAAATTATTACAGGGATCCCGATCAGGTGGAGAGCGTAAATACTTACACCGTATTTCATGATCAACTAAAGCACTAAAAGCTCTTCCATAACGTCAATGGTCAGGGGTGATCCTTACTTAATTCTCGTACATTTTATTTCAGGTCAACGGGACTAACTAGTATTTATGCAAGAATGAAACAGTAGTAGGTATATTATATACAGAATGACTAAAGGGTGTGTTTTAATCTCGAGGGTGCAATTAACTTCATTTCGGGCAACATCTTTAAATTTTTGTAAGCCCACTTGATGTACGTAGTGTAACAGTGTTTCGTACTGGTCTAGTAAACGTGATGAAAACGCCCCCAACCGTCGCCTTTCTAATTTAGGTTACCTTAGCATTGTAACTTCAGTCGTCTCTCGCTCTTTCAGTATGTTATAAATTGACGTTGTTTCCTAACAACCTCAATTTGTTATGTAATCACTTGTGTAATAAGATCATCAGTCATCGTCATCAGTATCATATATTCACATGTACTCGCTTCTAGCTCCTATTAAATTCCACCTCAACATTGATTTGTCAATTGTCGTGTATTCGACAACGATTTTACGGTTTAAGCCGGTATTATTAAAATCTAGTTTTGTTTTTGTTTTTTTTGTTTTTTTTTCTACATTGTATTGTTTATAGTATTATTAGTAATTTTACATCTTACTCTTATGACTTATGCAAAATATTGTTCCTAACGCACTAATAAATTGTTATTATTATTATTTCGATAATTATACCAGCCTAAAAATAAATAAACATTTTTGTCAATTGTGATTTAGCAGCAAAAAAAATGGTTTAAAAAGGTGTGATTTATCAATCGATCGTTCTGAAAATACCCTGTAACGACTTAGTTACATTTACAGGGGTTGGAAACTACTTGTAGAAAATGAATTTTAATCTCTGCGACATTGGTACAATTTTGCCGTAAGAAATGATTTTTTTTAATCAAATAATTAACGGCTAGCTCAGTAATAAACTTTCAATAACTTTTACCTTGCGAAATGTTGGTTCTTTATTTCACCTGATCTAAAAAATCGAAACCTGATCCTCTGCTTTGGTGGCTCTTAAATAAATACTCATGTATATTGCCTTATCTTCACATTTTTAGCGCATTTTTGCAAAAAATTTTTTTTGTAAAAAGTAGCTTTTAATCTCACTTTGGCTGGCTGGCTGGCTGGCTGGCTGGCTGGCTGGCTGGCTGGCTGGCTGGCTGGCAGTAAATGCGCGCCCGTAGAAAAACGCTTGTAAAAAGACAAGGAGTGTACATGTAACTATCGGGGCCGTGTAATTAAGAACGTTAGGGATGGGGCTACAAGATTTGGAGTCGACGACATCTGGACGCCATCCCCGAGCGTATTATACTAACCTGGAGATTTTTCAGTTTTTATCTATCTTCTTCTACAGTTTTTCTCCGATTGTTTTCAAATTGGTGTCGTCGGGAAGATCTTGTCAACGCGCACAACTCCTGCGTGGCGGAATTTTGTTTTTTTTTTCCTAGGGGCGAAATAAACCACCTTTTGCGCGGCGCGCTTCGAGGGGTAGTCGACTTTGGGCGCCCAAAAGTTTCTTACAGCGCGAATCGCGGTCTCTCTTTCTCGTGTCACTAATAGAAGGTCGAGCTATGTGAAGTACCCAAAAGTTGAATACGATTTTATGCCGGGATTTTAGCGAAATCTACCAAAATGTGAATTACGAATGAACGGGACGTCGGAACTGTGTATCGACAAAGGGAATGTGGTAACCCCCGACGAGATCTTACTGATGGTGGAGTCGAAACTTCAAATCCGAATTGTTGCGGGTGATCAGAAGTGGGTGTCGACAAAGGGAATATGGTAACCCCCAAAGGATTTTAATGATGGTGGAGTCAAAACTTCAAACGCGAATTGCGAGTGCACGGTAAGTGAGAAAATGGTACCGACAAAGTGAACGTGGTAGCTTTCGGCAAGATCTTATTGATGGTGGAGTCAATATTGGCTAATAAAACACTGATCTGCCACACAAAAATGCGCTGAAGTCCCTTCGATCTCACACGAGGACTTTGATCATTTTTTGTGATTTAAAATAGTGAAGAGATTCATGTAACAAACACACAATAAAGTCTCAAACCCTATCTCGCGATCACGTTTCCAACATAATTAATTATCTAGATTTTTACTATTTGCAATTAATTCAACACACTGTGCTTTTTCCTATTCAAAAAATCTACACACCTTTGGATGTTATCAATCAATCAATCAATGATTTCAGAAAATTGAATGGTGGAACGTGGAATCTATTGTCTCGTCAGGTAAATCTGGGTATTCGTTGATTTTCAATTTTTAAAGATGGTTGACCAATTTAAATAAGGAGCGCACTGGGTTTCAGGTTTCCCGTACTTATAACTTAGGGATTTAATAGCCAGCAAAAGCGCGAATTAATAGCCTTTAATCTTTTTACCGCTTACCGTTTTATTCAGAATCTATTATCACCCCGTATAGGCGTATACACAAGAAAGGTGCACAATTTTGATTAATAAACTTGTTTTCTTAACATCTAACCGCGCCAAATATAAACGCAATGAACGTTCCGCACCTTAGACCACAACGCTTTCGTGGTAGCAATTTATTTGAACGCGAGCACGCTAATCCAATAATGCACGCAAATGTTCGCTCACATAAATGCGCTGCTTTGAATTAGTTTTACTTGTAAATATATCTAAATGCACACACGAAATTTCGTCGAAATGGCGCTTTCCCTTAAAATTCGGTAATTAACTTTGGCTTCGGTTTCGGCTCGAACCTTTGATCGAAAATGAATCTGAATCTAAACTCACATAGTACAATCAATCAAATTAATTAAATCAAAATTTGTATTACTAATTATGCTTTTGTTTCAGGTTACATTTTTAATGATGCCATTAGAAATCGGATGGAGTGCGACAGTCTCGTGGAAAGCGGGAGACGTCGTGTGCAGAATAATGGCATTCTTTCGAATGTTTGGATTGTACTTATCCAGTTTTATACTGGTCTGCATTAGCATGGATAGGTGCGTATATTTTACTCGAGTTTATTGTACATTATGTAGTTCTACGTCTAGTTTTCGTTAATTATAGTTTCTAGTGCACTTTCACTTTCAAAAAATAAAAAGTGCACTTTAGCGCTCTTGAAGTCTGTCTGTCTGTTCACTATAAAGAAATATCCTAATGTTGACTATAAATGTTATTAATTTGAAAGAATTAATTTAACACCTAACTTAATTATTGGGCACGAATAGAAAAATCTGACATCAAGAACTCTACCTGGGTCCCACTTTGGGTTTAATTAACCCACAGTTAATTAACTGACAAAGACAAACATTAATTCCGCAAAACATAACAAAATTAAAACAACAATTCTGCAAGAAACAAAGGCGTTAATAGTATATTGTTACACATACCACGCACGCAGGCGGTCGACAGACTCTCAAATAGAAAAATTTTAATCAGTTTTAATAATTCAATAAATCTATTCGAAAAAAATTTGAGATATTTTGGTGCACTTTGTTCAATCTCGGTATGAACAAGAGTGGATTTGGGGTAGAATGTAAGGTGGTAAACCGTCACTGTTACCAAAATTGTACACTAAAACCTTACACCCCAAATAAGTAAAATCATTCGTTACCTCTTAATATATTTACAATATTTACCTGTTTATATAGACGTAATTTTCTAACGTATGTAACCTAATTGTTGTCTAACATTTCATAATACTTAATATGCATTCATGGATTATCTACTGAGCTAGTGTCCGTGCTTTTACTAGCTCACCTTACGTTATAACTTAAGTCTCTCAATACGATTACTTACCTTCTAAACAACCTCTGCAACTAAACAAATAGGGCCGACTGCCAAAAATAACCCCGTAACAAAAATCACGCACCCCAACTGTCACCAAATAAAAAAAATCACTGCAGGCGAATATTTAATGCATCCGCAACTTTCTGTGAAATGAAATTTGTTACAAAGTTACGAACTGTTATATTACTAAAGTAACCACTCACCTCTCTTACTGCTGCTAATGGTAAAACTGGACCTCCATTATCTCTTTCTCCTTCAAATAACGATTACAAATAATTTGCTTACTTTTTGCTTGCTAAACCCGATGACATTTTTGGGTTATACAACTTTTGGCCCAAAATATCGCAATAACGCTTTTATAATTGTTCGTTATGAAACTAACGGGTTTATCGGCTAATGTAGCAAAACGCGATAAAATAATGAAAAGGGTAGCAAACAGTAGTCAAATTTGACGGGTCGTAATGTAAACGTAAACTACCACAATTTCGTTTGACAGGTAACCTGAAAATAAACAAAAAACACTCACTAAAGGTTTTTGGTTTTCTTTTTTAAATATTGTACAACTCTGCCTCAAGGACCTAACATAAACACGTAATTCCCACGGTTATTGTTGTTTAAAATATTTTTTTAAATTTTGTTAATACGTTGGAATAACAATATTCCCCAAACACAGAGTTGATGACGTGCGGGCAAACTATGGAATATCCTGCTTTACCATATCTATTCATTCTCTGAAATTATTTTATATTCCATCTGCAAGTATTATTTGAACCACGCTTTTTAATATCATTTTATACACCGCTGACACCTTCTCCATTGTTTACCTCTGTACTTCCGTGTTAGCAAACGATTCGTGCAAAAACACTTCAAAGCTTCAAAAGAAGGAAGTATAACGTAATAATTCCATTCTCTTCCTGTTGTGTTTATTTTAAACAGTTTTGTTAATTATATCAGCTTTTTACAACGGAGTAAAATTTACATGTAGGAGCGCATACTTCGAATTTAAATTCATTTCGGTCATAGTGTAGGGAATTTTCTAGAGCGATATCAAGGCCCACGAAGTCGCTATAAAGGATTAGTCACCGGCGATGAGGAATGAAAGCGGATATATGACTCATTCTTTCTGTGAAATAGGATATGCCTTCTAGACTTTATGATAAGATATTGTTTGAGCAAATTGAATTGTGTTTAGTATCTTACGTCGACGCCGAAGTGATAACTAGTGAAATCCGAAATTCATAAATGATTAATTTTAAATAAATAAATCACGTACCTAATTAAATTTACGTTACAATACCTACTCACAACAAACGTGAAAACAAATCAAAATAGGTCGTAACGCTTAGATGAATTTTAAGATCATTTTCGTTGTAAAGTTTTGAGAACGTATTCAATTGGCATACTTTGTCTAGAAGTTTTGCATTCACTCAAAGTGAGTTATCCTGTCTAAGTCAACCCTTATTTATATAACAAATATCGTTTCGTACTGACGTTCGCAACATTATTCGGCGGAAAGACCACATTACTAAATTCCGAAGCATAGGAAAACAATCTTACAAAGATCGTTTTCAATCTTACAAACGTACTTCTTTTAGACATTACTATGCTCGTTACTATGTAAAATTGTTTTTCACCTAAACAACTTTTCCTACTGTCACATGTGTCTCAATGTCTCAGAGTCATTTTTTGTATTCCATTGTGTGTAATGTATATGACCGCAAATTTAAATGATCAGGAAATGTTCTTTGTTCATTTTTGACTGTCTGTGTTTGGTATTTAATTTCGATTCATTTTCGGTTGGGTGGAAGCAGCAGTGGTAGTATACAGTGTGTTCCAGATCGTGTGGGATTGCATGGGTAACTTTCTTATTATTAAAGATAGAGATTTGCTTAAATGTGCAATGTTTTGCAGTTTTAGATGCTTATTTAATATTTCGTTGTAGAAATTCAAAATGTCGCAGAGGTTCGACGTAAATTCAAAAAAACTAAAATTGGTTATTTCCTTGAATGTCTTATATCATCGAAAGCATAAGAGATATAAAAAAAGTTATATATAAAAGTTACTGTCTTTGATACGCTTCATTTAGAATTGATGCCAAAAAAATTCAAGATGGCTACTTTGGAAGAACATTATTTACTTCCTAAAGGTAAATAGGCGCCATATTGGACGTACTTCTCGTCCTCAAACAGCACAGAAGGAAAAAAAAAACACGCAAGGAGGAGGATCCCAATGGTACAGTTGGAGCATTTACATATTTTTGTTTTTCCGTGGATCTTCTGATGCGGCGCATATATTTGGGGTGGTTTTTAAATTGACACACTATATATAAACTGCAGAACCGATCTAATAAATAAAGAATGTTATTGGTTAATATTTCAAAAGTTTCCCAATTAAACTCATATTAACTAAATCACTTAAAGCTTCAATTCAAGCTTTTAATAGGAAAAAGCTAATTACACGATATACAGCCCGTCAGAGTGGAGCGAATGGTATTATAATTGCAAATGAATTGGGTACACATTGAATTTTATCATAAGAAGCGTGAGCTAACAGGAGCGAACTAAATTAAGTTATTCGATAAACAATCCAAACGCTTAAAATAATCCTTTCTCTTAATTTAATGTGTCAACCGTGGTTGAAAGAATGTTTATATTAGCTAAATATTAACGCGGAAATTCGAAACAATGTTCGAGCCCGTAAAACTTTTGAAATTCTATCCCTCTAGCTAGGGGTATCTTGTGGTCCGCGGAAAATCAGCAGAAACGATATAGTATTAAATTCAAATCTGAAGATCTGACCGGAAAAAAAATATTCTGAATTTTCCAATGATTACTTTCACTGGTATTATTCAATGCTGGTAGTGATAGTATGGGAAACCGTGGTTATTAATGTGACAAGTAAAGATTGGAAATGTATATAACCATCGATTTTTCCCGGCGAGTATTTTTTTATTGCGTGGTATATTAAAGGTATCATTTTCAATATATTTTCCGATGTCATGTTTTTAATAAAGAGGATACGATTGCCTGAGCAGTGCGGGAGGGAGAGATGGGAGGGGGGGGGGCTACAACGTACGTTGCACCCGATTCGACGATAATAAAGTGTATCGTGACAGGCGTCTTCTCGATTAATAACATTGTTGATTAAATTCCCATAGGCCATAGGAGATGCAATGATATTAAGACAAGTATAAATTGAGCACAAATCTTATTCAGAGCTTAAACCGAAATAGCTTAGTAAATAGTTGGGTTATAACTTACACGCTAGTAGCGTGCTATAATTATTCATTTACCTTCTTGGCTCTTGCTAGATTATTAATTGGGAGGGGGCACATGAACATTTAGGCCGCTTGGCATACATTGAAAATCTACGCCATATAATGCAAGAACAATCAAGCCCTTAGAGCAATTCACCTAAATATTGTTTCTACCTTTGTTTTCACATCGCCAGTAGATGTGCCCCATTTAGACCACCCTTTCGCCCTTTGAGAGTACCATCCTCCGACACCGTTCTGCAGTTATTTGCATTGAAAGTTTTGACATCATAAGTAGATGTGTCTCGTCCAGACGTTCCAGAGGCGACGAGTGGTTTGTTGTACAAGCAGAAGGAAAGTTGCTACCTACAAAATCCAGTAAAGCCTATTGCAAAGAGTATGAAGAGTTCTTGGTGATGAATGAATAACAGGCATCTTACGAACAAAATCCTAAATGTATCGATCATGATAAGATACTTAAATCTTTTATTCATTTGTACATTCATTCACAACTACAAACAATGCTGCTATTAAAAAATGGAACAAATTTGTCGGCATACCCTAAGTTACATGCGTTCGTGAAACCTTCAAACAAAGGACAAAGGATAGGGTGCAAGCTAGGGAATGCAATCTCGCAGCAAAATTTCAATCCCGGTATTTGCGGGATTGTTAGATGTTACTCCCGCGGGATCCCGGTATTTGCGAGATCCCGCAAAACTTTAAATAAATTGCCAAATAAGCAACTCTGTGCGGTTAACTTCTGTATTAAAATAAATCGCTAATTATCACAATATTTAACAAAAAAGTACCTTCAGCCTAACTTGGAGCTCAAAAAAACCTCACCTGTAAAGCACAAAAAGGTGAACTTCTAAAGTGCCTCAAAAATCATAGTACATTTTAACGAAAAAAGTTTAACAATTATTTAAAAAATAACTTCTCCGTTATGCGTTTCATGAACAAAGTAAACAGAGTCGTCCCCTTGGTCGACAAATTCCTCAGTCTCGCAAATCCCGCTCCATTTATGTGCGGGATTAATCCCGCAAAAATGCTGCGGGATCCCGGTATTTCGAGACCCTGCGATCCCGGTATTGCATTCCCTAGTCTCAGATCGACCAGGAAAAAACATTTTTTTATAGAATGTGGCCTGTAGAATCCATAATTTCAAACAGTTCCAAGATTGGGCTACTAGTTTAAAAGTTACAGCCTTTTGAATTTTCTTTCGAAATTGGTCTAGTCTATAACTTTTGATTGAGAAGTCTAATCGAAAAAGTACGAATTGTTTTGGATTCTACACACCAAAATTAATACGAAAAAGTGTTTTCCCGAGAAATTTTGGTGTAGTCGATTTTTGGTAAAAACGGAAGGTTATACACTGCCTTTGTTTTGCCCCGAAAAAAAAATTGTCTCAGATAGGGAATGCAATCCCGCAGCAAAATCTCAATCCCGGTATTTGCGGGATTGTTAGATGTTAATCCCGCGGGATCCCGCAAAACTTTAAATAAATTGCCAAATAAGCAAATCTGTGCGGTTAACTTCTGTATTAAAATAAATCGAACTTCTAAAGTGCCTCAAAAATCATAGTACATTTTAACGAAAAAAGTTTAACAATTATTTAAAAAATAACTTCTCCGTTATGCGTTTCATTAACAAAGTAAACAGAGTCGTCCCCTTGGTCGACAAATTCCTCAGTCCCGCAAATCCCGTGGAATCCCGCTCCATTTATGTGCGGGATTAATCCCGCAAAAATGCTGCGATACCGGGATCCCGCGATCCCGGTATTGCATTCCCTAGTGCAAGCTAAAAAAAATCTTTTGGATTCACAGAAAGCGACCTAAGGCGATTTTTTCGTTCAGCTCCATACGTCATATGTAAAGTAAAATTACTACAGCACTAGTGTTTTAAAGGGCTGATTACACCCACATTTGAGTGTTCAAATACGAGTATAATAAAAAAGACATTAATGAAAATGAATCTCAGCCGAAGCAGAATCCGAGGAAATAGTGTCAGCATTCTGGGCACGGTACCAACCTCAGAAGATCCTGGAGAAGTTTTCTTTTTGTAATTTTAGTAGTGTACAATTAAAAAAGTGAATTTTGTAATTCTTTGAGAATAAACTTATCTCATAATTGAATATGAAATGCTAAGAATCGGTATCGTCTTGTTCTAATCGTGAAATATTTTTTCAGGTACTACGCTGTGATAAAGCCGCTCAGTTTTAGTGGAGTCGATAAACGAGGAAAAGTGATGCTAATGATCGCCTGGTTTGGATCAACAATTTGTAGCTCACCACAAGTAAGTACCAACTCACTATATTTAAATTCCAGTTTGTACATGGTATAAATAACTACTAAACGTAGAGCATTATAACTTTTGATATTTCGCTTTCGAAGCCCCTCGATCTGGGCCGACGAAACCGTCTTCTTTTTCATGTGCAATTAATGATGCAGTATATGCTCTACTCTTTCTACCAACATTCCCGCACTATCAGCTAACTCAACACCCGCTCACTTTTATATCCCGGTCCCGATCGTGGAGTTTGCCATGCCAATGCTATTTTCAGCTTTACCCACCTTAGGAGAAAGACCTTCTCTCATAGCAGTACCCTTTCTCGTGATGTGCGATCACACTAGATTTAGAATTTCATCAAAAGTTTAAAGGAACATACCCAGAAGCGCTTTACAATCCGTTGGGTCTTCGATTGTCAACTTTTTGACCAACTGAGCCTATCCACCGCGTGAATCTCTTCTCTACATTAATTTTCTGGTTCATTCTTTTTTCTTTTCAAACCTTTCCTGGAGTTGGCTTCACAAGATTCAGTGATAAAATCACGACCTATTGCCCCTACCTAACGCTCTACTCATTTGAACATTACGAACTATGCGACACATCAAACGACACTTGTAAGTGAAAGGCGAACTAAGTACAGCTTCACTAAAAGAATTGTAATTGACCATCCTTACAATGAGGCTTGAGGTTGCGCCGCCTCAGCGCTCTGGAAATTTGGAGCTTAGATTGTGTGTTACGACGGAAATAAATGTACTGGTTCGAGTATACATTTAAATCGAAGCAGCTAAGTTGATATTTTATGGTGTGTGTATATTTGAATTGCTTGTTGCAGGCCGTCGTCTTTCACGTAGAAATCCATCCTAACGTTACATGGTACAAGCAATGCATCACGTACCACTCCTTTCCAACGGACGAATACGAACTGGTGTATCTCATATTCGGAATGGTGGCGATGTATGCGTTTCCACTTATTGTATTTATTTATTGCTACGGCGCAATTTTATTGGAAATATTTCGTAGGAGTAGAGTCGAAGGTAAGTTGATTTAATGTAACGACATTACGAGACGAGGGCCTCGATCTTTTCCATAATGAACATCAAAATGTGATTTACGCACTGAGGAAACAACAAGCACTATGCACGAAATTCATGTTCAATCTCATCACAATTTACTGATAACAGATTTGTAGGAGCTCACTTACTGATCTGGCTCAAGAGATGCACAATATTCAAAAGTACATATTCTAGTACTTATAACGAGTGAGCAACAAAATTTCAGAGTTGGCCCGGAAAGGGAGATGTAGACGTATCGGTAATGAGTAGAGTAGTTTTAAAGTGCTAGAAAGCGGATCTAATACCTATGCACTTTTAGCACACGCAACAAAATTACCCTTAGTTAAAGCTGTGGCAAAGTAGTGATGGGTTGGGGTGGTCAAGGAGTTCTCTTCTACGGATAGTCAACAAAGCAAACATAAATAAACCTGATAGTCGTACAGATGACTTAAAAAGAGAGGCGAAGACTAAGAAGTGCTTGTCCTTTTCTTGATAAAGCTAAAAGGTAATATAAGAATAACTGAAATCGATGGCAATTTAATTCAAAAATTATGAACTGTTACCAATGGTTTCCAAACGTTACAAATAGAAGGTGAAATGTCTTACGCAAATTAAAATTTAAATTAAAAAGTAATTTATAAACTCGTAGTCAGAATCAAACTATACTTCCGCGGGGTTTTTTAAATGAGTATCTTAAAAAAAATATATTAATTACAATTCGGACGTATCGATATTGGTTATCGAATGAATTCAAACGTTAAGCTCACGGAGTATCGAGGAAATAAAATATTTTGTTTTTGAACTAACGGGTCGCAACTTCTCTGAACTCATAAGGGCGCTTTCTGCCAATCTGCAATCAGATAAAATGCAAATATAAATGCGAGACAAATTGACGTTTGGCACGTCGTGTAACTCGAACACGAAAAATCGTAACTCATTCAATAATTCAATTTACGTTGAGAGCAAAAGCTAAGTTTTGTTGTATAAAAATCGGTATTGTATAAACTACTCGATAACATTGATGCAAAAAAACTACATTACAAAACAAAAATGACTAAATAACACAAATTAACTAATTTGATTTAAAATGCAAGTAAATTAACATAATTGCATGCATATGCACTTGCATAGTTGCAGTTATAAATCAGGAATATTAATTCAGGTCTTCCATAAATAATTTCCATCCAATATCACGAATAATAACTCGAAACTCACAATGGCGAATCCATGTAAAAATGGGATGTCATCCAAATTATGCGTATTTATCAAAGGATATCGATGTAGGTGGAAATATTCAGGTATAAAAGCAAGGAGGAACCAAAAGAAAAGATGAGAGAAAACAAAAGCCCTAAAAAATATGCAACGTTAATATAACGTAAGAAACATACCTCATGGCGTAAATCACATGTTAAAGCGTACTCGATGGAGCCAACCACTATACCAGAAAGAGAGAAAAACTAAAGTAACGGCGTGTTAAAGTTTTACAAGCAAACACTACCAGCGCAAAGTCTTCTCCAAAGGTATAGTAATGAGCACGTAAAAAAATTAAGAAAAAATCAAGAGAAAGGGAAGAATACAGAAAGGTACATTCCACGGCCTTCTCTGAATGCAAAATGTTGTTGCTCACACTTGATACACAATCATAAGTCTTAATGGTTATAGTAGGGGAGCTAGCACGAAATCCACTGAACGAGAATGATCAAAATTTTAACCGATGGAGTTCCATTTTGCCCTATCAGAGTATGCTAAAATCGATCGTCTGCCGCCTCAGGTCATATGACTTAAGGCGCTGCGGGTACTTCTTGCGGTACCAATTCTGAAAGGTTGTTTTTCGAAAAAATAAGTTATACACCAAATGAAAACGTTGATAATAGCTCTTAAAAAAATATTTAAAAAAATCGCGCACATTTGATAACTCCGTAAAAAAACAATTCTTAGTCGGTTTTTCACGAACTTTCTACGGATATAACTAGGTTACGGTTAGACGAATGAAGCTGATTTTTTCTACAGACTGATGATAGGTACTACTAATGACTTAACGGTGTTTCGTTTTTAAATTTGTTCTCTAATTATAAGATTATCTTATCATCTTAACATTATAAGATATCTTATAATTAGAGAAAAAATTTAAAAAAGAAACGCTCTCATAGTCATTGGCTGTGCCCATCATTAGTCTGTAAAAAAAATCAGCTTCATTTATCCGACGGTAACCTAGTTATAACCGTAGAAAGTTCGTGAAAAACCGACTAAGGATTGTTTTTTTACGGAGTTATCAATAGTGCGCGATTTTTTAAAATATTTTTTAAAGAGCTATTATCAACGTTTTCATTTGGTGTATAACTTATTTTCTCGAAAAACAACCTTTCAGAATTGGTACCGCAAGAAGTACCCGCAGCGCCTTAAGTATTATGACCTGAGGCGGCAGACGATCGATTTTAGCATACTCTGATAGGGCAAAATGGAACTCCATCGGTTAAAATTTTGATCATTCTCGTTCAGTGGATTTCGTGCTAGCTCCCCTACTATTAATAGTGTAAAAAAACACAAATAGACCCAAGTGAAATAATACTTAATACACAGTCACACTCCTTTAAATCAAGCTGTCTTTGAAGTAAAATTCAAATAACGTAAGTACACGGAGTTCTTTTTCATTGTTATACCCAATTGATATATGTATTTGATAGTTGTGTTGAATTACTATGCATCCAGAGCTAAGGGCTGTGGAGGAGCGGCTTGTACGCGGAGGCTGCATCATTAACTATTACCTGTACAAATTAACGAGTAATTCACAAAGTATACCATTCAAATTAGAAATCCCATTACAGATAAGGTTTTCAATGCCAATTACTTACCGCTATAAAGCCATAATCGACGCGTGGGCAACACGGCTTGGGGTCAAACCGACTAGGGTAAAGTTTACCTGTGGTCAAACTGGCGGAGTCTAAAAGTCCGTACCCGACCTGCAATCCATGTAACTTTGAGAGGATTGCACATTCCGTAACCCCCATAGGTCCAACCAAAACAGTATTTCATGCCGTATGGGTCGAATTCATCTGCAAAACGGCGTTAGATGCAAAGTTACGCCAAGTATATTTGAAGTACAGAAAAAGTTTTAGAGACAATGAGCTCTCTTTTGGCTCATACCAAAAATATTGCTATGTGCAATTGCAAACCACCCACATAAACGCCTGTGCAGCTAGCTCAATTAATCTCAGAAACTGACCAAACCTTTAAAAGAAATAATTATATAATTGTTTTAGGACCGCCCAGCTTCCGCCACGACGAAAATCTCGATATTGACGTAAATTTTATTACTTTGAGTGGCCTTGATCAACTTCATATAGCTCCAAAGAGTTATTTAAATAATAAGTTTAAGGACGGCTGATACAACCCTAGGTATCACTATCTTGAATATCTAAATTTGAGAACTCTTATCTGGGTCGCAATTTGGGCTCAATTAATAACAAAATGAACCATTTACACATGAAACAAATGGGGCCAGAATAACACATACCACGCAACAAGAGATCGACGGAACAATTAATTAAAGAAATTTTAATTACCTTAAAGTGTCAATCCAAAATTTCCGGTCGTAACTGTGATTTTCAGTAAAGGGCGCACAAACTCAAAACACCAGGTGATTTGCTTCGAAACTTCACTTCTCCGTTGTTGGTGGACAAAATTCGAACTTGAAGACTTTTCCTTAACCACAAAACGGTCGATGAGCACAGCACTTTGACTAAATTTTTTCGTAAAGCGGAAAATACGCTTCACGATTAAACAAGACCGACTGTCTCTTTAAAGAGCCTTGGTAACGACAAAACTGGCTATTTTGCAAAGAAATACGCTCAAATACGGCTACGTTAAAAAAAATCGTCACGTCCTTACCTTGAAACTAATTTGCTTTGTATCAATAAGAAAACTTCGTATCTACGACCGGATGAACATGAGATAAACTTTAACAAATGCTACGCAACGTATTAACGTATTAATTTATTAAGAAAGTATGTTTGGTATCTCAAGTTTTGTTAACATCTGTATGAGAAAACTTCCCTTGCTTTCAATCTTTCATTAATTTTGTCAACGTTTAAATGTAAAGCATACGTAGCTGTGTATATTATTCAACAAAGCAGTTGAGATTTTCATATTTGAATTCTAAAATAAATTGAAGATGTTTTAGTTGAGAGATTACGCGTTCCAATTATTGATAATTGCAGATCATTAATAATTTTCGTGAAAGTTGTTTGTTCGTTGTCTTATGGAAGTTTGTAATTAAAATGAACGTTTCTACATAATGTGCTTGTTTCCCATTACCTACACCTACTCTAGTCACTTGCTTTATACATAATTAGTATTGTTTCAAGAAGTAAGTAATGGCAAAACAAGAAGACAATAGGACTTAATATTTATCTATCATAATACGATGTTGAACTACAGCACAAAGTTAGTAGTTTCACTTACAAACACTGTCCTTTTTACAACGGAGCAATAAGAGCATAACTTTGAACCGTTCCATTCTCATGTGACAGTTTTCTAACAGTTTCGTAAGTAAGGTAATTCTTTCCCGGCGCGTCCCATAATTTTCGACTTTATCTACTCGTATTTACTTACGTCTTTTAATTATTTCTTATATACCTACGGGTATGAAGTAATCAGTTTCGTTCAAGTAGAAAAGACAGCGGTGTCGAATTAAGTGATCGGCCGCCTGCCGATACGGTACTTACTTAAAAGTGCGCAATTGTTTTGTTAATTCCAATCTAAAATTCTCGCACAGCTACTTTAATAGGATTACGAGCATGTTATTAGGCTTATTATTCAGAAAGTTTACGTTTGCGACAAAATACGACGATGTTCTTATCTATGAATATTCAATGTGAGCTCCAGTAAATAATTAAGAAAATGATTTCAAAAACATAGTGCTTTTTGATACACACAACATTGTTAGTTTTGTTTTCCGGAGCGTAAATGAACAACGTTAAAGGTTTTCCGACACGGTAACAGGCGACATACAATTGGCCTTCCAGATTGATACGACTGTCTTTCGATTTATTTACCGACGCGACGTTGAAAATGCAAGCCGCATCTGGACATTGTAACCACCGTTTGAAGTCGATTGACATGTCGTTTGGAAACATAGCGATGAGGGGGAATCTATGCCTTTGTACTTCCCTTCAATAAAATTGTGGCTTCGATGACGGTGTTCATTAATTTTTTCGCCGCAATCCACGTTCCATTGCAGAGATGTGGCTAGTTTGTCGTTTGTGTTCCGCAACATAATGATAATAAAAATAATAATAATAATAATTACAGGAATTATTATAATGATTTTTGTTTGTTTTGTTTTCCTCTTTCCTGATAGCGTTGGCTATTGTGCCCATCAATAGGTATGTTGGTAAGTACGAATTACATTATCCCTAGATGTCCAATGTACGTGCGTACATTACTTCACCAGACACAGACACAGACACTAATCGTTACTTGATTTTAATCCGTGCGATTAGTTAACCAGGCTAGACCTGAGTTCTCACAAGAAACACCGACCATAATAATAAGTGCCATTTATTAGACTTCTAAAACAACATAAAGCAATATAAACGGTAAAAAAAACTATATTGTGTGATAAATGTACCTGTATACGTTATCATTATCATGTACATAGGTGGGTATCCTTGAATATAGAAATATAAATGCAGTATGCAAATAGAGCGCAATCCGATGAGTTTTATTTCCTCCAAGTTACAACAGTGGCGACGAGGATTAAAGTAAGTTAAATATCCTAAATTAAATTAAGGTAAACGCGTTTGATAAATACCTAAAAGTAAATTAATATTAAATCCAAATAAATATACCTAATAAAATAAAATGGCCGCGCTTCTCGGTAGAATTCAAGAATACAAATTCGAAGATAAAAACTGGTCGTCATATATCGCGCGATTAAAACAGTATTTTAAGGTGAACGAAATTGAGGCTAGCAAGCATACGCCAATATTAATTACCGTCATCGGAGGGGAAGCGTTTGACTTAATGGTGGATTTGTGCAACCCCGCCAATCCAGAAGATAAAAAGTTTGAAGATCTAGTCAAGCTGATGCAAAACCATCTCCAGCCGCAACCATCCGAAATAGCGGAAAGATATAAATTTCGCCAACGCAAGCAGGACGTTGGGGAGTAAGTGGCAGTGTACATGGCTAATTTAAAAAAATTAGCTAAAGATTGCAAATTTGGAGAAAAATTGGAGGAAAATTTGCGAGACCAATTAGTCTTCGGGCTCAAGAGTGAAACCACCCGACAGCGATTGTTCGTGGAGAAGTCACTCACGTTCCAAAAAGCACAGGAAATTGCTGTGGGGGTGGAAGCAGCAGAGACCAACTCCCATTTGATCGCCGGAACTTCGTCAGTAGCGGCGGTTCATAAATTGCAGGCGACGAGGAGAAGGGTAGCGTGCAAGGAAAAGTCCAAAGAAAAGGGTCAGCGCAGTGGATACCGAAGGAGCAGGTGCAATCACTGTGGTAAATCTAATCATGTAGACGATAGTTGTTTTTTTCGTAATGCGCAGTGCCATCTGTGCCAAAAAAAGGGACACATCGCTTCATTTTGTAAAGGTAAATCACGAGCGAATAGCAATTATCATAAATATGTTAATGATTCATTAGAGGAGTCGGATTTAGATTTAAATGATTTAAACATTTTCACGATTGCCTCGATAAATAACCAGCCTATAAAAATGTGCATACAGGTAAATAATAAATCAATCACAATGGAAGTTGACACAGGGTCAGGAATTTCGGCGATTTCTGATAAATTTTATTTGCAACATTTTTCGCAATGTAATCTTATAAATTCAGATATCCATTTAAAAAGTTATAATGGCAACGATATTAAATGTATCGGATATTGTGTAGTCAATGTCACGTATGACAACACAACTGTAAATAATTTGTAATTATTTGTTATAAGAAATGGGGGACCTCCGCTTATTGGCAGAGATTGGTTAAAAAAGGTTAATATTTCGATTGATAACATTTTTCATATTGATAATCAACCGAACAGGATTTCAAAAATGTTAATTGATAAATTTCCCGGCGTGTTTGATAACGATTTGGGTAAGTTTAATGGAGGAAAGGCTAAATTGTATTTAAAAGAAAACACGGTTCCGATTTATCGCAAAGCACGTCCGTTACCATTTGCTCTAACCTGTAAAGTGGAGGAGGAATTAAACAATTTAATCAAATTGGATATTTTAAATCCCGTTAATAGTAGCGAGTGGGCAACTCCAATTGTCCCGGTTCTTAAAAAAAATGGCCAAGTGAGAATCTGTGGCGATTTTAAAATAACCTTAAATCCCCATCTTCATATCAATAAATACCCCGTTCCTCAAATTGACGATTTATTGGTGTCATTAAAAAATTGCGCGATTTTTAGTAAGATAGATCTTTCGCAGGCGTATGCGCAGATTGAATTAGACGACGAATCAAAAAAATTGGTCACTATAAATACCCATAAGGGTCTGTTTCAATATAACAGGTTGCCATATGGGGTAGCATCCAGCCCAGGTATTTTTCAACAACTCATTGAAAATATTTTTGCTGGCATCGACAATGTGGTAATATTTTTGGATGACATCTTGATCGCATCGGAGAACGAAGGAACCCATATTAAAACACTTATGGAGGTATTCCACAAATTAAGCCAAGTTAATTTAAAAATTCAAGTAAATAAATGTTCGTTCGCAACGACACAAATTCAGTACTTAGGGTTCATAGTCGACAAAGAAGGTATACACACTGATCCGATCAAGATGGAAGCCATTAAAAAGGTAAAGGTACCGCAAAATGTGACTCAGTTCACAGTTGAGGGCATTTTTAGGCTTAGTAAATTATTACGCCAAGTTTTTACCAGGTATCACTTATATTTTGTATCCTTTATATAAATTATTAAGGAAAAACGAGCCATTTCAATGGCAAACAGCTCAACAAAGAGCATTTGAAAAAATTAAATCACAATTAATGTCATCTAAAGTGTTAGTGCATTACAACCCCCAATTGCCGATTATTTTAGCAGTTGATGCGAGTGCTTATGGCATCGCAGCGGTCATATCGCATAAATTTGATAACGGGGACGTAAAACCCATAGCGTACGCATCGCGTACATTATCGTCGGCGGAAAAATCTTATTCCCAAATTGATAAAGAGGCTCTAGCAATTGTATATGGCGTTAAGAAATTTCATCAATTCTTATACGGTAGAAGCTTTACATTACTAACTGATCATAAACCCTTGATTAGTATTTTCGGGGATAAAAAGGGAATTCCAATTTTTGCTGCCAGTCGATTACAACGCTGGAGTGTCATTTTATTTACATATAATTTTAAAATCAAATTCATAAATTCCGAAAGTAATGGTAATGCTGATGCTTTATCCAGATTGCCAATAGAAATTAACGTAAGGGATGAAGTTGATTTGGGACACATTTTGTACATAGAGGAAAATATTCCAATTAATCATCAGGATATTGCAGCCGAATGTAAGAAAGATCCTGTATTAAACAGAATTATAGGATTTTGTTTACATGGGTGGCCGCATAAGGACAACTTGGATAAAGAATTCGCAACGTTTTATGAAAAGCACAAATTAAATGAGATTCATATCGTACGAGGTTGTGTACTATGGGGTTATCGCATAATAATACCTCAACAATTGCGACCAAATATCTTAAAAGAATTACACTTAAGTCATTTAGGAATTAATAAATGTAAGTCTTTGGCGAGATCATATGTATGGTGGCCCAATATCGATTATGACATCGAACAAATGTGCAAACGATGTATGGTTTGTAGTACAATAAGGCCAAATGTTTCAAGAACTACATTAAATCCGTGGCCGATTGCACATCGACCTTGGTCCAGGTTACATATAGATTTCTTGGGTCCGCTAAATGGACAAAAGTACTTAATTGTCATAGATGCTCACACAAAGTGGTTGGAAGTTATTAAGGTTAATTCCACTACAGCTGACAACATTGCTTCGAAGCTGATGAAATTATTTAGTCAGTTAGGGTGGCCAGACTCGGTAGTCTCAGATAACGGCCCACCGTTTACATCCTCAGATTTCAAAACGTTTTTGAAAAATAATGGCATCAGGCAATTGTTTACACCTCCTTACCATCCACAGAGCAATGGAGCAGCGGAAAATGCTGTCAAATTAAATTAAGCAAGCTTTAAAGAAGGCTTATTTAGAAAAGCATAATCCGGATACTTTTTTATGTCGTTTTTTGCTAGATTATCGCAATAGTGAACACAGCAGTACAGGAATTAGCCCAGCCAAAGCCATGTTTGGCAGGAATCTTAAAAATCGACTAGATTTAATTATGCCCAATCGTTATAGAACAGTCGAGGAAAAGGTAATCAAACAGGTAGAAAATTTTGGCGGAAGAAATAAAGTTATTGAGGTAGGTGATAAGGTCATTATTAAAGATTATACTACACCTACCCATCCCGTGGGAATGTTCGGGAAAATTGCCAACAAGCGAGGGTCCGTCTTGTTCGATGTTGAAACATCTACAGGAAAAAATGTAATTAGACATTCGGACCAAATTCGAGTGATTGAAAAGAATAATAATAACAAAAATTCATTTTTGGTTTCAACATGGAACAAGAACGACGAAGAGGTAAAAGTGGAGGTAGATGTCACCTAGTACGTCACAAGTTGTTCCCGACCTCACCGATAAGACAGTGTGCGTCGATGTTGATAGTGGACCTAGTACGTCATCGTAAGTGATAAGTTGACGTAGATTTAGTACAATCCCAACCAGTTGTACAGGAACGATATCAATTGCGTCCTAGAAAATAAAATTTTGTTGTTCTCTTTTTGATGTAAATAAGAATTTGTATTTAGTTAAGGAAGTTTGCAAATAAGGGTGAAGGTGTGATAAATGTACCTGTATACGTTATCATTATCATGTACATAGGTGGGTATCCTTGAATATAGAAATATAAATGCAGTATGCAAATAGAGCGCAA